CAAGGAGGGGTAAGGAAAGGGTTTCTTCTGGTTCAAGGGGGACGGACTATACGACAGTAGCGGATGGACCCGGGGGTGAACTGTTGGAAGTCGCCACAAGGAGAGCAATGGAGCCTGATACAATACAATACCAAAAGGGCCAGACAATTTCTCCAACCACAAGATGAACACATCCCTGAGATATGTGACAGAGCGGCCAGGACGATGGATATGCCCACCCACCCGAGCCCGAGGGCTTGGAAGGGAGTCTGGGAACAACTACACCTGCTTCCAAGTCTCAAAATGTTGGGGCTACTGTGGTTGCTCACACACTCAGCAGTTCCAACGGCGAGGTGGTTGATGGACAAGGGCATGACAGTTCAGCTGAACTGTCGGCGCTGCGGCAACAGAACAGAGGAAACGGCGAAATATCTTCTCTGGAACTGCCCTGCTTCGCAAAGAATTTGGAGATGGTGGGCGGAGCACTGACAAAGACTGGGCAATGCAATGCCCTGGAATCAAGATTGGGTTGTATCAGGAAGACTCCCCCCTCTCTTCTTCAAGCGAAAGGGATGGGGTTACATGGCCCAGGCAATTAGAGCAGCCATTGCCTGGGTCATTTGGGAGGACAAAAATAAGATTCTCTTCCGAAACGAATGGACGGCAGGCCTGCAGATCAAGAGCAGAATAAAAGCAATCATAAGGACAATGATACAGGTGGATTGGTCAAGAAAAGCTAATAGAGGCAGATCAGTCACAGGTCGGAACTGGTTTCTCTTCACATGGGCCAGAGGGTCACAGTTGGCAGCAGTGACAGTGGAAGGAAAACTCGTAATCTCCCGGTGGTTAACAGCTGGATGATCAGCCGGACGAGTGTACCTGCCCCCTCGGTTGTCAACCCCGAGGAAGGGGGTAAGGATCCCGTTTTGAATAATTCCGGGAATTCAAGAGGGGAAGTAGGTAGTTAGATATAAGCCGAACCATATTAGGTTCTGGGGGGGCCAAGTTAGGCCCTAGACATAATGTTTTCGAGGTTGGATGGGGTTAAACACTAGTGTTAGGCGGGAGTAGGAGTATAGTAGGTGGTAGTTTGTCTGGTAAGTCTCTGAGGTCTTTACCCGCTTAAACTCTCTTTTCTTTTTCTTTTTATGGTTAATAGTGGGTGTGTTTTCTATACTGAGCAAAGGTAGAATAGAACTACAGACAATTTGTGTTGTTTAGGTTGACTAGTTGTCATTTGTTTTAATGTGCTCTTCGGGTCCAGTTGGTCCTGTAAAAAGCGAAACCGGCTGATGCTGCCGGAATAACTCCGGGTTGAATTGTGAGGTCCCCGGCCTCGTTATTCCCAATGTGTAATATGAATCATATTCATTAATAATAATAAAAAAAAAAGAAAAAAAAAAAGCAAACTCTTCCACAGATGGCGGCCAGATACATTCCTCAAAGAACTGCTGCAACTGCCACCCTTGTGAGGGCCTTCCCCGATGTCCCAGCATTTGAAACTCGATGTCCCAGCATTTGAAACTCCGTTTTTTTCCCTTTTTTTCTTCTTTTTTCCTTTCTTTCTTTCCGTTTCGTCGGCCTCAAACGACGCCCGAACCCCTGACAGCCCGAATGACGCATGACCCCCTTTCCACCGATCGAACGAAAAAATGACTGCAAAGAGTTTCGCGGTTACAACTTTTCATGACCCCTCATGAGACCCTCACTACCCATTTCATACCCATCCCCATACGATTCATTCTTCCCCAAAGAGGAAAACCGCGTCGTCCACAACAAAACCAAACGACCTAATCAACGACCACTAGACGACCTAATCAACGACCACTAGACCTAAACACTACTACGACCACTCGCAACTACCGGTCCATCTCCTAGCCGCGACCGCACCCTTGCCACTTTTTCCCTAAACCCCGAAAAGACCCCGACAAAGACCATTCAACGACATTTCCCGAAAACAAAAAACCACAAAACGACAAAATAACACTCACACTCACAGTAAGCGCAGCCTCTGGCTGCGAACATCAGCAGTCTCTGCTCAATGCCACTCGGGGGGACCAACGGCATATCTCTAGGTGGCGGGCGCCAAGCTTGCCAATGCGGTCAGACTTTGCTGCGAGATTTTCAGATCGGAAACAAAAAAAAAAAGATTTTCCAGATCGGATGGCAGGACAGGACCCTGGAAACCAGGAGGGAGATCCCACTAGCATTGTATGTGGAGTAGTGTAGAGGGCGTGTGACCCGCCTGCGCCGTCGCTGGGAATGGGGATTGGTGGTTTTGTTTTTCCTGTATTTTAGCCCTCGAAAATATATGTTTTTTTGGAGCATCCCATTGGGTGGTCTTTCTTTTGTTTTGCTTGCCGTGTTCCTCTGGGGGTCCCGAACGTGAGTGAAATCAGACCCATTTTTTTTGTGTTCCTTTTCACTCACCTTTCACTCACCTTTGGGTCGTGGCCCATGCGTGGAAGAGAGGCCGAAAACAAAATTTTTCGGTGTTTCCCATCATGAGGGAATGTCAGTCCGTGTCAGACCCTCGTCCAAGTTGTCTGTAGTTCCCGCAAATGTTTCACATGGGCAATGCTGTTGTCCTCTTCCTTTGACATGCATGTGCCCCCTTATTTTTTGGGAGGTGTTTGGGAGGGTTCGATCCCCTCACCTACAGCAAATGGTGTATGGAGTTACTCTTGCCCTTGTTTTTTTACGTTTATTTTCCCTATTTCACGCTGCCACCCACCTGCCCCCCACCCGTCCCCCACCCGTCACACTAATCCACATACCTGGCTAGTGGGATCCCCCTCCAGAAGTGAACCATGGATCGGTGATCATTTTGGAATAATATGAAAGAAAAAAAAGAAAAAAAAACAGAAGTGAACCATGGATCGGAAAAAAAAAAAAAAAAAATTCCCAAGAGGTCACGGCCGTGACTCCTTGGATGGCATATGGCGACGACTGTTTGAACGTGCCGTCGCGCTGCTGTCGTCGCGGCGGATCCTTTCTCTTCTGCCTGTGTGTGTGTGTGTGTGTGTGTGTGTGTGTGTGTGTGTGCATGTGTGTGTGTGTGTCTCTGTGTCCGCGGTGTTGGGCCTCAAGATGTGGACAGTTGCATTCATACTCGGCCCGAAACGGAAATAGGTGAGTTCGCGCGGCGCGGCGAAGTGCACCCTCTCTCCCTCCTCGCTCTCTCTCTCTCTAGCAGCGGTATCGTACGTGAAGAGGTGGAGACTTCCATTCACACTCGGCCCAAAAGTGAAATAGGTGGGTTCACTAGGCGTAGCGAAGTGCACCGTCTCCCTCTCTCTCTCTCTCTCTCTCTCTCTCTCTCTCTCTCTCTCTCCCTTCCCCCCGCTCAACGACATCCCTCCTTCCCTCCTTCCCTCCTTCCCTCCTTCCCTCCTCCCTCCATCCATCCGTCCATTCGTTTAGGGATGCAACTGCAGTTTTTCCGGGGGTGCTATGTTGCAAGAGGACATGATTTGTTAACGGCCGCTATCGGGCAGACGGCCAGGATTTCGTCGGCCGGGATCGGATGTGACGGCAGAGGGAAGCAGAGGGGGTGAGTCACCGGGGGATAGGGTGAAGCATGCAACGGGAGTTTGCCGTCTTTAAGGAGGCATAGAGAGGAGAAGGTCAGAATGTCAGCCACTCACGCGAGGATGTTGAAACAATTGGAGTTTCAGGGGACAGAACGCAAAAGGGTAACAGGGTGAGGAATGCAGGTCGTGTAGGAGAGGGG